CTACTGATGCACCAACAACAGAACCATCTACTACTGATGCACCTACAACTGAATCATCAACTACTGACGCACCAACTACAGAAGCATCGACAACTGATTCACCTACAACCGAATCATCTACGACTGATAAACCGACTACAGCAGCATCAACTACTGAAGTACAAACAACAGAAACATCCACTACCGACCCACCAACAACAGAATCATCTACTACTGATTCACCTACAACCGAATCATCTACTACTGGTGCACCAACTACTGAGTCATCTACTACTGATGCACCAACAACAGAACCATCTACTACTGATGCACCTACAACTGAATCATCAACTACTGACGCACCAACTACTGAGTCATCTACTACTGATGCACCAACAACAGAATCATCAACTACTGATGCACCAACAACAGAATCATCTACTACCGATGCACCAACTACAGAGGCATCAACAACTGAAGTACCAACAACCGAATCTTCTACGACTGATAAACCGACTACAGCAGCATCGACTACAACAGCATCAACTACTGAAGTACAAACAACAGAACCGTCCACTACTGACGCACCAACAACAGAATCATCTACTACTAATTCACCTACAACCGAATCATCTACTACTAGTGCACCTACTACCGAGTCATCTACTACTGAGCAACCAACAACAGAATCATCTACTACTGATGCACCGACAACTAAATCATCTACTACTGATGCACCAACAACTGAATCATCAACTACTGATGCACCAACTACAGAGGCATCGACAACTGAAGTACCAACAACCGAATCTTCTACTACTGATGCACCCCAACAACAGAATCATCTACTACTGATGCGCTAACAACCGAATCATCTACTACTGATGCACCAACAACTGAATCATCAACTACTGATGCACTAACTACAGAGGCATCGACAACTGAAGTACCAACAACTGAATCTTCTACGACTGATGAACCGACTACAGCAGCATCAACTACTGAATTACAAACAACAGAACC